CCTGACCTCATGATCCGCCTACCTCAGCCTCCCAAAGTGCTGGTATTACAGGCGTAAGCCACCACGCCTGGCCCTGTATTTAAGTTTTCTCCATGCCTTTTCATAGTCCAGCCACTTTAAAATACCAATTTATTAAAGTATGATTGGCATACCACAAACTACACATGTTTAATTTATGTATAATTTGGTAAGTTTTTACATATGCATACACCCATGAAAACATTATCACAATCAACACAGAGAACGTATCTATCATCCCCTGAAGTTCCTGGTGATCTCTTCCTCTTGCTCCTCCCCACTGCACTCTATCTCCAGCCACCACTCATCTGCTTTCTGTCACTATAGATTAGTTTGCATTTTCTAGAATTTTATAAATGGAATCATATAGCACGTCTTTTTTTAAAAAAAAATTTTGCTTTTTTAATGCACTGATACTATGTTGAGATTTATCTATGTCACTGCATGTGTCAGTGATTTATTCCTTCTTAATGCTGAGTAGTACTCTTTTGTCTGAATATACTACAATTGTTTTATTCATAAATCTGTTGATGGCATTTGTGTTGTTTCCACTTTGGATCTATTAAAAGTAAAGTTACCATGAAAAATTTTACTATACGTCTTTGTATGGCCATATGCTTCCATTCTTTTTGGGGAAACACCTAAGAGTAGAACAGCTGAATCAAATGGCAGGTGTATGCTCAACTTTTAAGAAACGGCCAAAGTTTTCTAAAGTGGTTGTACCATTTTATAGTCCCTTCAGTAGTGTGAGAATTGCAGTTGCTTCATGTCCTCACCAACACTTGGTATGCTTAGTCTTTTTCATTTTAGCCACTCTAACAGATGTGTAGTGCTGTATTGTTGTAGCTTTTATTTGCATTTGTCAGTGAGTAATGGTGTAGAGCATCTTTTTATGTAGTTATTTATCATCCTTGTAACTTCTTTGGTAAAATGTCCATACTGGTCTCTAATTCATTTTGATACAACTGCCACAGTAACAGAATTTCTGTTAAGATTTGTCTTCTTTACAAAAAGTAAGGCACATTCATTACAGAAAAGCATCCTCAAGTCTACCATTCACGGATGATTTTCTATCAATTTAATATAATTCAAATATTTTTCTAGTTTGTAATTTGATTTTGTTTTTTTTTTTTTAAATATAGAGGTTTTAAAAAATGCTATCATTTTTTGTCTTTAAAATTATACTTATAAAATTCTCCTCTTTCCACAAGTTTTGCCTGTTTGTTATGTTTTGGGGGGATCTCATTTAAACATTTAATCTATTCAGTACCTACTTGATAGATTATAAACTCGGGATAAGTATAAACTAGGGTTACACATAAACTTATAAACTAACTAACTATAAACAGCATGTCTTCTTTTTTCTCTTTTTGACCTGGTTTTTTTTCATGCACTGTAATTATCAATAGTTTGCTCCTTTTTATTGCTGAGTAGTATTCCATTGTAAAATATACTACAGTTTGTTTATTCATCGATATGTTGATAGACACTTGGGATCTGAATTCCTTTCTATTGATACTTTAACAAATTGGCAAAAACAGTGGCTTAAAACAACACAAATTTATTATCTTACAGTTTTGGAGGTCAAAAGTCTGACATGGGTCTTACAGGGCTAAAATAAAGGTGTCCACAGGGCTGTTTTTCCTTCTGGAGCTCTAGGGAAGAATATGTGTTCCTGTCTTTTGCAGCTTCTAAAAGGCCACCCACATACCTTGGCTAGTGTCCTCCTCTGAGCTTCAAAGCCTGCAATTGCATCACTCTAACTTCTTCTTCCAGCATCATTTCTGTTTCTCTGAATATGAGCCCCCTCCCCACCTTCCTCTTGTATGAACCCTGGTGATTACATCGGGCCCACCTAGGACCCAG